CATACCCAGGACCGGCACCCCTGGCACACCCAGGGCCTGACACACCCGGGCTATGGCCCATGGTTCCACCTGGGGTGCAAACCCAGAACCTTCTGCGTGTAAAGCAGATGTGCTAACCACTACACTATGGAGCCCCCTCTCATTACTATCTTGTTATATCAATTCTCTTATTATTATTTAAGCTTATAATGCTCTGTTCTTAGTGAGAGTTGCACTCCTCTGCTTCTATTTGCCTGATCGCCACTTTACTCCTAATTATGTATTTTTGTTGTTATTTTTTTTAGGTTAGCTGACCCCTTTCAGTATTTCCTGTAGTTCAGGCCTCATAGTGGAGAATTTCATCAATTTTTGTATGTCTGAAAAGATCTTGACTTCTTTGTATCTGAAATAGAGCTTAGTTGGATACATTATTCTAGGCTGGTAGTTCCTTTCACTTAATAGTTTAAATATTTGATTCCATTTTTTTCTGACTTGTAAGGTCTGCACTGAGAAGTCCGATGATAATCTAATGGTTTTACCTTTATATGTTACCATTTTCTTCTCACTGGATGTCCTGAGAGTTCTATGTTCATTATTGATTTTTGATAACTTTAATACAATGTGTCTTGGTGAAGACTTTTTTGGGTTGAGATATTTGGGTGTTCTGTTGACTTCTTGAATTCCAAGTTCCAGCTCATTCCTTAGATTTGGGAAATTCTCGTTCACTATTTGTCAGAAAATGCTTTCTGGTCTGTGCTCCTTTTCCTTGCCTTTGGTAGTGCCCATTATTCTTATGTTTCCTCTCCTGATTGTATCAGCTATTTCTTGTATTTCTCTTTCATTATTTTTCATTCTTTGATTTCTCTCTTCCTTCTGATTTATTTCTAGATTTCTGTCTTCGATATCACTGATCTTTTCTTCCATTTGGTCGACTGTATTTCCCAAGCTTGCTATTTCATTTGTCAACTTTTACAGTGTGTTTTTTTTTTTTCTCTCCAGAAGTTCTTATTCGGTTCTTCGTGAGGGTTTCAGTCTCTTTGCTCTGTTCATCTAGCTGTTTTTGCAATTTCTGAAATTCTCTATATGGTTTGTTTCGGAACTCGCTGAGTTTTTCAGAAGTACCATCCTGAATTCTATGTGACTTAAGCCGCATATTTCTATGTCTGTAAGCTCATTTTTTGAAGATTTTTCTCTTTCTTTCTGAGACACCTTGTCACCTTGGTTGTTCCTGGTGTTTAATGGACTTTTTCTCCACCTGGGCATTAATGGAAGTGTATTCTGTTGTTTTTCCAGAAATATTATATAAAGGTTTCTCTTTAGCCTGTTGCAAAGAAGGTGCTTTTCTTTTGGTTTCCAGTAGGTGGCGTCTACGCCTCTTGGATCTCCGCTTTATATAAAGCCTAACGTCTTTTATTTTCGTGTAGATTTTATTCACACTCGCTACTCTCAGTTTCAGTCCCTGTCAGTATTAGCAACAGTTTTGGTAGCATTTGCTCAGATTCCCCTGGGGCTCTGCCATGATTGGTCTTGGAGGGTATAGAGGGAGGGGCCCTCTGGGATTGGGAGTTTGGGGCTGCAGTTCAGCCTCGTTTTTTGCAACCGGGGCCATTAAAAATCAACTGTTGTTTCTCTGCTGTCCTGTCCCGCTTCTCTGCTTTCTGTCCTGATGACTGAGCCCTGCTGCCAGCTGGGTAGAAAAGTCCTGGCACTTCTAGGCAGGGCTGATCAGGGAAGTCGCCACATGTTCACCCCTCCCCCTCCTCCTGCAAAGAACTCCAGCTGCGAGAGGCAGCTTTTTTATTTGTCCCAGTCCATCGCATGACACCCTGGGTTCTGACCTGTGGTAGCTCTTATGTACAGATCCCACGCTCAGACGTGCTGGTGTGCAGTTTGGGTGTTTTTTGTTGAGTTTTAGATGTTCAGCTTATTGTTGTTTCAAGGGGAGAGATCTAGGGACGTCTCTCACTCTGCCATGTTTCCAAAGATCTTTTCACCCTATGTGTTTTGATTGGAGCATTTAATCTGTTTACAATTAAAGTGATTACTGATAGGTATATTGTTACTGCCATTTTATTATTCACATTTGTCATTTTCAGAATGCAGTAGCATTAATTTGATGGCTAGGTGGAGGGCCAGGGGAGGGAGGGAGCATTTGCGGGGATCGTTTTATGAACTATGTGGATGTCTAACCAATGTACTGTATACTTGAAACTAATTTAAATAAGTACACTTTTTAAAAAAAAGATGTACTGGTATCCACCTTTGTCCCTTATCCTACCTTCTATTCTAGTTCATTGTCTTCACTGCTTTTAACAAGGACCTGTTTCCTTAGTATCGTTCATTGTTCCACAAGTCTTGTTTATTATTTGTTATGCCAGTCTCGTGAGAGTATATATATATTTCTCTATGGGCTTATAGGCTATTTTGAGTTTTCCATGTGCGGCATATTCAATTCGTGGCTCTTGCTGGAATTATTTTGTATCTACAAAATAATTTGTATGCCATCTTTCTCTTACTCATAGAAGTATACTTAGGAAATATATATACATATTATATGTACATATATGAATATGTATATATATATTCAGTATTGGCTGAAGTTAGGCATGCTTTAAAGGTAAGTCGTGTATCTTTAGAATCCATGTTACTGTTCCCTTCCTGGTATTAAAAAATTTCCATTTCTGTGTGTTTATGTGTGTAATCATCTTTTCTTATATGTTAACGTAATATGCAGGTGAATCCATTCCCAACTGGATTCTGTTAAATAGAAATTCAGTACACACTTATTGAGTGCCTACTATATGGTGAAGTACTGTGTGTGTCTGCTCTCTAGTAGCTAATAGTCTAGAGAAGAAAACAGATGTTAAAAAGTGTCTTAAAATGATAAGCACTAGAATAAAGTTTAAAAATGTCATGAAACATCTACTGGGTATGGAGGGATTTATATGCTTGTGTCCTAAGTTCTTGACCACTTAGGAAAACCATTTAGGGTCACTCAGTTATAACCCACTAGACATGTATTCTTTGTGAATTTTTTTGAGGTGACTAAAGCTACAGAAGCTATTCTTACTGGTTCTAGGATTATTTTCTTAGCCTAAGTCTGAGGCAACTCATTTGCATTACTGACACCCATCTTTCAAAGTGCTATTTTTAGAGTAGGTTTTTGATCCACTTCCAAAGTGAAAAGACACAGCCTAACATCTGTTTTCCGATGATTGAGTTTCATGAGAGGGAACTATTTTTAAAATTTGAATGCCAGTGCCCTGGCCACATTTTAGTGTAAGTAATGGGAAATGTAACTGTTCAAATGCTTCTGAATAATGAACTACTCTAGGATTTCCCAGCCCTTTATGAACATATCCCTTTAAAGAAGAACAAAACCATAAATTAGCATTAACTGTGCATTGAGATTCTTCTGCACTTTTTATCTTTTCTTGTCTTGCTACTCTTATAAAGTTTGAATATAAGGTAAGGATGGAGATGAGGGAATGGATAAATAAATATGATTGCATAATTTTCAACTGAAGCTTTTGTTGACTAACCATGTCTCTTTTCCATTGCCTCATGATGACTGGCTATTAAAAAGAAACAAACAAAATCCAGCTCTTTCTTTGTGTAGACATAAATATTTATCTGAGATAAATATTTGGGAATGCAGTTATTGAATTGTATGGTTAGTGTTTGGTTAGTTGTTTAATTCTTTAAGAAACTGCCAAACCTTTTTCCACAGTGGCTGTACCCTAGAACATTCCCACTAGCAATGTATGAGAGATACCGTTCCTCTCCGGCGTTTGGTATTGTCACTATATTTTACTTTAGTAACAGGTGTGTAGTGATACCTCATAGTGCTCTTAATTTGCATTTCTGTAATAGTTAATGATGTTGGACATCTTTTCATGTGTTTAGTTTGCTATCTGAGATATCTAGGAAATATCTCATCATATCTTTTGCCCATTTTCTAATTGAATTGTTTGTGTTTTTTTCCCCCACTGTTCAGTTTTGGTAGTTTTAAAAAATATATTCTAGCTACTAATCCTTTGTCAGATACATGGTTTGAAAATATTTCTTCCATTCTTTTTGCTTGTCTTTTCATCCTCTTCACAGGGTCTTTAACATAAGAGCAAAAGTTTTTAGTTTTGATGAGGGCCAGATTATCAATTTTTTTTTTCTTTTTATGAGTTGTGCTTTTGTTGTCCGGTCTAAGAACTCTGCCTAGCCCTTGATCCTGAACATTTTCTCTTATATTTATTTTATTAAAAAATTATAGTTTTCATTTCTTCATTTTGAGTTAATTTTTATATAAGTATGAAGTTTAATTCAAGGTTCATATTTTTGGCTATGGATGCCCAGGGGCTCTAGCACCATTTATTGAAAAGACTCTCATTCCTCTGTTGAGTTGCTTTTGTACCTTTGTGAAAAATCAGTTGACTATGCTTATGTAGATCTATTTCTGGGTTCTTGGTTCTGTTCCAGTGATCTATATGTCTATCTTTTCATCATTGCTACCCTGCCTTGCTTACTATAGCTATCTAGTAAACCTTAAAATCAGGTAGAGTGATTCTTCCAACTTCATTTTTTGTTTTCAAGATTGTTTCAACTATTCTAGTT